GCGCCGTTGATCCGCTAGATTTGGTTGGATGCTGGTGGTGAGTTGCCGAACCCAACGAATACACTCTGAAGTCGGATGGGGTGAACGGATTAGGGTGCCCCTCTAGCAGGGGAGAGCAGGGCCAACTGCCTTCAAGGGAAAGGGGGCCGCTGGTGAAGCTATACCACCCTGTAACAACATACATACACACATACACACCCGTCAGCGGCTTAGGCCAGGACCCCAGCTGCTCCCGGGAGAGCCGACCGCGCTCCCAAAGCACCCGCCAGTAGTCGTCATGGTTGCCGCTGTACGGCACAAGGTACGGCAGGGGGATCAGGGGGGCAGCAGTTAAGGTGGTTGCTGCGGTGTGATCGTGTAGGATAACGCCAAGTGGGGGGGTATATAGCTTTATCAGTGCAACCAGTACTAGCCTGCTGGCAGTCCGGGCTACCTCTCGCCCGATGCTATGTTTCGGGACAACCTCCCCCCTGCCTTAGCATATCTGTCGTGCCGGGACTGTGTGTATGTGCATGTGTGTATGTGTGTATGTGCACCTTTTTCACCCCCTTTTCCCCCTGTCTTGCCCCCTCTCCCAACCTCTACTTTGCAATTCCTTGTTTAATTGCAGAATAAGGTTGTTCGTAGGCCATCATACTCCACCACCCCACCCCACCCCACCCACCGGAACCTATAACAGAATACGGACGTAAACATATGTACACAGACAGACAGACAGACAGACATGCCCACCTGTGCAGAAAGGCGAGATACGCCTCACAAATGATGACGTCATCGGGGGAGGTGTTGGTGTGCAGCTTCTGATGCCACTGCTCCAGGAAAGGCTCGTCGTGACCCTGCGAGTGTGTGTGCATATGTATGTATGTATGTGCGAGAGAGAGGGTGTGTGTTGTGTGTGTATGGGAGTGCATGCATTTTAGGTCGTTTTCATTATGTCGAAAGAAACACCATCAGTACGGCAGTACGACACTTGGTAATGCGAAACAGCACCCGCCAGCGGCAGCATTTATTTCACAATTATTATTAAATAAATATACGGCCCGTTATCGTCCTCTTTGCTTCCTTTATAGCCCCCCCCAATAAAGGGCTGCAGACGGCGGTGAGGCCGGGGTAAGACGAACCACCAAAGCCAAGTGAGTGGGAGCACTCGCGCCCCATATCCGGGCCCCACAGACCAACACATGGCGTCCCCCTTGCTGCCCGCCATCCCTGGAGCGAGCAGGGTCTCCCGCGCACATTTCCACCACCACTCATCGTCCCCTCCAACTAAACCACCGGAAATCCACACATACATACATACACACTTACATACGCACACACACATCACCACCGCCACCAACAGGGTTTTTCCTAAAACCAAATCCTCACCTCCCCCCCCCACACACACAATCACTCACCGGTCTGTGCCCCTCCCGTATACCGTAGCCCCTCATGATGTGCAGTATGCCCATACGTATGTCGTCCCCATTGCCCCCGCCCCGAGGCAGACCGGCTAGGGCCCCCCGGGCCAGCAGGCGGTTGAGGGGGTGGGAGGAGGAACGGGCCTGGTACGGGCAGCAGGAGGAAAAGGGTGTGTGCATGTATGTATGTATCGAAGTATGTATGTATGAAGCTTTAGGACTAATGGATTTCCCGCGGGGAGGGGAGGGGAGGGGAGCCGCCGAAAGGAAACCCGGGTGGGAGCTATCCGGCAGTGCTCGCTCCCCGGGGGGACGTGGTGATGGCTGTAGTAGTGGTGGTGGTGGGTGGGTGGGGGGGTCGGTGAGCATCGGAAGGTGAGTTAGCGGAGCGGGCTGCAGTACCTGTCGTACAGTACGGCACACGTTAAAGTAAAAGTTGGTTGATAAAGCGCACTTCCAGCAGCCGGCGAGGCCTTTTCATATCGGCGGCCAGCAGCTGCATGCTGCCTGGTGTCCTAGTTGGGTTGCGGGGGGGGGGGGGAAGACGAACCACAAACGAGTGAAGCAGCTGCCAGGGCAAGAAGGGGGGGGGACTGGGGAGAGCGGGTTAATCCACCGCTGTTTGTAAACACCCTCTGTAACCCTGTCATGTCCCGTACGTAATATTGGCCGTACATGCGCTGTACAAGCTATCGTACACTGCCATACATACTTTTTCCGCCATGCGCTCCCCGACATGCTGCTGTACGGCAGCCACGTCACGCGGTTGGAAGTTGGCGTTGCGGTACCAATCCAGTACACGTGTACTGCTTAGACGTAGCCATGTGAAGATGAACGCCATTCCCTCCGGACCTATCGAAGGGGGTGGGGCCGACATGTGAGGCGTCTCTGGTGGTTGAATGTATGTATATATGTATAACTTATATTACACTGTGGGCTGCAAAAGCCGGGGGCCGAAGCCGAAACACAGCGCAAGGGTCGGGAGCACACAGCACAAGTCGGTTAGTCTTGTGTGCTCCCCACCCGGACTCAGACTGCCAACACACAACGCAGCAATATGTACGTACGTACGTACGTATGTATGTATGTGTATATGTGCGTGCGCCGCGTTTCGGCCACACATGAATATGTGTATGTATGTGTGCGTGCATGGCTCTGTGTGGGTTTATGCGGACCTGTGTCTCTCTGTCTGTCGGTCTGCAAAGGGAAGGACGGGGGAGAGTACCCGATGTACAAGAATCAGACCAGTCCCCTTCCTCGACCCCCTCCTCTCAAAGCCGCAGATCGAACTTGTCTTCCCGTCCCATCCCGACCCCCGTCCTTCCCCCCATAACCACAACCCTCTCGCACACACACAGATACACACACATATATACACACATACACACCGCACCCGCTGCATCCGCCGCGTCCAGCACCTCGCCGGTCAGCATCATCCTCTGAGCCAATGACCAGTGCGTGTAGCTGCCCTCGGCAGCAAGAACCTGAAACCAGGGAGCGGGGGAGGGGGAGGGGGGGAAAGCGCGTGTGTGTACGTGTGTTACAAGTTACAAGTTCTGCACACAAGTGCGGGTGTGTCCGTAAAAGCCGGGGTGCCCGGTGTGGTCCGGGTTGTGCGGGGAACAGGCGGTCACGCTGCGCTAGCAGAGAGACACGATACAGAGGGGGCGATGTAGATTAGGAAGTTATATGGTAAGGTAGTTATATGAAAAGACCATCTGGACTGCTGAACAACGTGGCGGTGTCCTGCTGTCTTGCTTAGACTTTCCTACGGGGGTACGTGTCTTCATATTCGCCTTTCTCTCCTCCGGTCTCTAGCCTTTGCTGTAACGTCTTCTCGGAAGTGCAACAAACAACAGCGCGGTCGGTCATTCATGCATGTTCGGAGAACGGAGCTCTAGACCCCCTCCGTCCTTCCCCCCAAACCCCAACCAGCAGGTCCCAGCTACCCGCACGCCCATAACCCCCGTCATCAACATCCGCAACCACTTGCAACCGAAACTCCAACGGAACCCAATGCATCCGCAACCACCTGGTTCAAAGACACAACCTCACACCCACAACACCTCAGACATCCCCCCATCCCACACACACACACACACACACACACACACACACCTCCAACCCCCACCCGCCTTGCCTTCTCAATGAACGTCTCGACCGGAGGCGCCCGCAACTGTACGACATAGTTGGATCCGCCGTTGTTGTACCATACCTCGCCACTGCCATCAGCGCTGCCCTCCGCCGCCGGCTGCTTCAACACAAACACGACTCGAGAAGGGCAGGTGCCCTGTGTGCGTGTGCGTGTGAGTGTGTGTGTATGTATGTGTGTGTCGCGGGGGGCCGGGAAAACAGAGGATGAGAAAACCTCTTTCCGGTGCGTGGTGAGGGCCGGGAGTTGAAGGGTTTTAAACAGCCTCATGGCACGGACATTGGCCCTAACATAAGCGGCCAAAACACACACACACACACGTACGTACATACATACATCGGCAACGGTCGTCACTCCAAGCCTCCCTTATGACCCCCAAACTCCCCCACCCCCATTCCCCCCGTCCTGTCCTGTCCAGTTCATCCAGCCCCCTTAAACAGCCCCCGAGTCGCCTCTCTCCCCCCCTTGCACAAACACATACATACGCGCACTACAGACATATACCCTACTTCACATTCGCGCAACTTACACGTAGACATACATACATACATACATACGCACATACAACAGCATCCTCATACCGGTGCAAAGCTGATCTCCAGTCGCCCATCCGGCGGGAAGTGTGTTTGACACGGTCCGTCATCCCGCCCCCCTTCCCCCTCCGCACGCGCGGTCCCCGGGGGCCAGCAGTCCAGGGGGGGTGGGGACCACTCGTCCAGCGCCCAATGGAGAACCCAGGGGGGTGAGAGGGGGGAGGCGGGGGAGGGCAGCTGCAGGACGACCTGCGAAGGGGGTGGTGGCGGGAGAGTGAAGGTGAGCGGGAAAGGGATGGATGGAGGGACCCAGGGCGGGAGGAGAGGGATTTATTAATACATTAATAAGCAAATAAGTAAAGGATAGACCGCCGACATCCGAATGGAAGGAGAGGAAGGGGGAGAAGGAGGGGGAAAATGAAAACACAGTAGCAGTGTGTGGGGTAGGTGTGTCCTGGAAAGGAGACCGGACTGCGCGAAGAGAAAATAAAATCAAAGCTGCAGGCAGATGTGCACGTGGCGCGCGTGTCTCTGTGTGTATGTGCCAACGGAGCTGTGCCCTTCCCCAAGAGGGCACAGAATGCCGTGCCTGGGCGGGTCTGTCGTATCGTGTCATGTGCGTATGTATGTATGCGAACTCCTAACCCTTCTTCTCTGTGCGCACCTGTGTATTTGTTGCCATCCATCGCACCCCTCCATCTCCCCTGCCCCCGTACCTTGTATTCCCCACCCTGCCGCTCCACCCTCGCATGCAGTCGTACATCCTCGAATCTGTGCATAACGATGGAAGCACAACATCAGACCCACATGCAAAGCTTATTTCTAGAGTACGACAAGTATGATAGGCAATTGTACCGCCCAATGGAACGGTGACGGGTCTTGACGTGTGATGATACGGTATCGCAGTACGGCATGGAAGCATCACCAAGCTTGGGGCAGGTCCGTACGGAAAAACGACAGGACAGGCGGGCGGCCAGTGAGTATGTGTGCACGTCTGTTTGCGTATGTACGTACGTATGTATGTACGTGCGGATGTATGTACGTATGTATGTACATATGTATGTACGTATATATGTACACGTATAAGGACGCCACACACCCCCAGTTCACCGCACGCCAACCCTTTTGCAACAACCTCGCCCACCCACCCCCGGCCGCCTCTCCACCCCCATCCCCACCGCCATCACCCGCACCTTCACCCACCTTGTCTCGGACAGCACCTCCACCCCTCCACCATCCTTGCCACCTCCAGGCCCCCGGCCCTTCCCACTGAACCCGCCTCCAGCTGACAGTGCTGCTGCCGCCGCCGCCGCTGCCGCCAATACCGACCCCCGCCCCTGGAGCTCTTCAGAGGGTGCCGCCAGACGGGGCCCCCGACCTCCGCGCCCATAGCTGCTGCGGAGGCGACTGGCTGATGGTGGGTGCAACGGCAGTTGGTCGTAGCGATTGCGTTGCCCTGTAGGGTTGGTTGGCGTGGGGTTGGTAGGGGAGGGTTGGGGATGGGAGGGGGAGGTTCATGTGCGACTACGGGTTGACCCGGGGATGCAGGAGCGGAACTGGGACAGAATGTTGGTGTGCCTGGTGTTAAGCTGGATTGTTAGAAAGGGCAGAATGAGGGAACCTTATGAACGTTGGTTCACAGCCCTTACCAATAGCTGCAATTGGAGGCACTTTTTCAGTTAACACAAGATGTGATACTGTATGTGTCTTTAATGCAAGAAGTTATGTTGTTGTTGCACTATATTATCGCATGGCACAGAGCCAAGGGTATGCCATGACAAGCACCCATGCCAGGAGGTCGTTGCGACTGCACCGAAGGAGTGTCAGCTGCACAAGCGCACCTGTGCGGGATGGCTGCAGAGCGTTCGTTGTAGGGCATTGCCTTATACCGGCCCGGGGTCTGAAGCTGCGACAGATTAACAACGGCTTTTGTTATGTTAACGAACGGATAAGGTTCAGGTTCAAAAGAACATAGTACGCAGTGACCGCGCGTTAACGAATGCGAATAAGTGATGACGAATATAGGTACCTTTGCACAAGTTGAAGAGGGAATGCACCGTCCTTGGACTTGCTTAGCCTAGCAAAATGTTGTTGGCGCACGGAGCTCAAGACCAGCGTACATGGGTTGCCGGAAACAGAATAACCCATGTTGCCGCTTGCAGGTGAAGAACTCTGGTAACGGAATTCTGGCAACATTCCGAGAATCATTCCAAATGGTTGTTGGACGAGCAACGCGGGATCAGACCTTGGACGGTACCCGTAATAATCTTTTTCCCGTTGTAGGCCAATGGTAGTGTAAAGCAGCTTGGTTGCTACGGATTGTAGACGTCGAGGTAACTGTTGGCAGGCACACGGTTGCTGAGATTGACGAAAGGGATCCGCTCCCGCACCGAGGTTGGGGAACCGCGATGATTGCCTGAAAACTCTTAACCTGTATTAACCATGACATGACTTGAAATCATGCATCTTCATTGATAGATCCTGTTGCTGTGATAACGACGCCGAGCGTTGCAGTCCTCCCCCGCTCTCCTGGGCTCGATGCCTGCTTGCTGGCCTCCTAAACCCCAAAGGGAACTAGCCAAGTAAGGGGCCCTCGGCATTAATCTTGTGCAGAGTGCGCCCTCCCAAGCCAAGGTCTTTTTCGCGCTGCACCAGTAACTCACCAGGAGGTGGCCACTCACAAGAGACATGGCAGCTCATTTTTACTCCTTCCGCAGTCGCAAAGCCTGCAGGTACACGCAGCGTGCTCACGGCCATTAGGCCTGTTAAGTTTGAGTTCCCAGCAGCCTCACCTGAGATGCATGGGCACCCGTTGGAAAAGCTGAGGAAAGACAGCCTTGGTGTGCATGAATCACGTCGGTCATGTTCCTTTGCTATGAGGATCCTGCCACTCTTCCAATAATGTGCCGTAACTCCAGTGACTCCGGTAGGAAGCGCCTTTGGGTCAGTGGGGATGCATGTTGCATCTCACGCACATCAAGTAGGTCACTTCACAACTCTTTACGGTTTTGTTAAATGAGTGCTCTCGTTTAAGGGTAGGGTGATACACAAGCAAGTCATAACACCCACCCCCAGATGACAGATGACGAACCCTGGGTGATACCCTCCGTGTTGATGTTGATATTTGTGTCCTGGAAGGAAGATAGGCTGACTATTGTAATGACGACGGGTTGTAGATGGGACACCTATTCAGTTACAAGGCGAGACTCCGTTGAACTCCTAATGTTCCTTATGAAGCGAGATGTCACAGACACAGTGCTCCAGGTGCCTGCTTATACAGCCCAGGGCGACGGTGCCCTTCTTAAACAACCAGAACAACGATGCACTGAGGTAATTTTTCTGCACCACACTCCACATACTATACAAAGAACAAAAGCCAAAGGGTCATGTGTAAAGAAAAGGTCGAAACAAGTCATACACAGCGAATAAATAGTGGTCTGGATCCATGGACAGCGGAGGCCGTCACAGAATGTCACAGAAATGCAGACTTAATGCTCCCAATGCCCCTATCGGTATCCACCGCCGGCAGCCAGCGTCAAGGCGCCTTCACCTGCTCCACAACCTGCTGCCGGCTGCGCCAGCTGCTGCACAGCTCGCCAGCAAGATTACCACGCCGCCAGCCAGCACCTCCCCCTCTGCGGCCGCTGCATCCACTCAGCCTTCACAGGTGGTGAAAGCTGTGCCCACTGCTGCCTGATGAGCTTTACCACGTGGTTGGCTACCCCTTTTTCCCCAGCTCCGGATGGGCTGCCGCAACCTGCTGCTCCAGGGTAACCCCAGCCTGAGCTGCCTCATCATGCAGCGATTTTTTTTCCTGGATAACAAGTACCTGGCCCCCCTGCACCACGCCTTCACTACCGTTTTCAGCACTAAGACCTGCAGCAGCACCAGAAATGGATGCCCTGCGCCATTTTAGGTGATGAGAAGATATCTCGTGTCATCATCATCATCATCATCGTCATCATCAGCACTGCTTGCACCACTGCCATCACTGCTACATCAGCACCACCGTCACCACCGCCATCACCACCACCGTCGCCATCACTGAAGTCAGCAGTAGCGATGATGGCATCCGGGCTGGATGCCCCATTCTTGCGTGTAGACCTGCGCCACTGCCCTCTGCCACGCCCACGCTGTGCAGGGTTAGGACGTACACACTTCCTGGAACTTCCTTGTTGTGGTGCGGGCTCAGACCGCGTGCACCTCCTGGGATGTGGATGCGGAGGATCAGGGCATGGCGAGAGGCAGAGGTGTGGACAGATAGATACCTGGGATGGCCCTCCCAATGGCCCTCCCAATGGCTACGCCGCGAGCCAATGGTGTTGCAAACGGTACTGTGAAAGGCGCTGCTCCTACCAAAGCCTCTGCAAATGGCCCCGCTGCACTGCCCGACTTGGAACGCACAGCCATGGGTCTAAATCGCCCATGGCTGTGTTGTCCAAGTCGCGAGCCGCTGTTGCCATGGACGTACCTCAGGCCCCAAACCGCCACATGAATATGTTTCCTATAATTTAATTGACATACCTGACTGCTAGTTTTAGCTTTGTTTACATTTCAGGCATTCACTGGTGCCAACCGCTTGCATCGGCGTAGCCCCCAGTATTGTGCGTAGCATTACATTTTCTATGAAAAGGTAATATATTTTCAATTTACAACATGCCCAGCAAATTTCTAGGGAAATGGGCTCATCTGGACGCAGATTGCATGCCGCGCTGCCGGTTTGCGCAAGGAATATCTGCGCGCGCTCCACGCCTGCGCGCGCCGCGAGCACCAGGATTCACTACAATGAAATGTATTTTGTTTCGATTATGACTATGTTGGCATGCGTGGGTATGTGCGCGAGGCAAGCTGTGCCGGACGCTCGTCCGTCCGGCGGAGCGTCCGCCATGGACGGTCCCAGCGTCCCAGGTTATATGAACCGCATAACTTTCTGGAGCTGAGAAACAATTCGTCAACTTGTAGCTCTACCTTACGTACGCCCGCTAGCGGTTTCAGCCGACTTTCGACCTCCCCATGAAATACAATCAGAAATTGCTGTACTGCACAGCAATTTTTGAAGGCATTTTTAAGCAGCCCCTCGCATAAACGTGATTCAAAATGCATTAGTGATGGCCGTGGAAAGGGCGGCTTGCGAAAGCCCGGAGCGCCGCGCTTACTCGTATGTGCGAAGCGCGGTTTGCTTGCGCTGGCGTCCTTGGCCCTGCGGAACAGGACTGAAGATGGAAGAAAATAATAAAATGGATGAACGAAATCATATCAAATAAAAGAAAAAGACTTGGCAAGTTTGGCTGCTGAGAGGGCCGGCAAGTGGGTCGCCGGCTCGCGCAGTCGGGCGGTCGCATTTCCTGCAGATTTCAACACCCAAAAACTTGTTGAAGTTCTATCAATGTATGCGTTCTTCTTTCCGTCGTCTTCCATTGTCAGTCATGTTACGCAGTTGGCGGTCGGAGCTTAATTAGGCCCTCGACCCCAGCACAGATGCCGCACCGCATGGTTCCGCGTCTGCAAGGCGACTGGCATGGCGGCAAATATCGCAAAGTGCGAAGTACTCGTCTTCGGAGGAACAACGCGCGAGTGCAAGCGGCGCATGGAGGCAGCAGTGTATTCGTCGGGTGGGACCAGGCTGCACGGGTCGACCGGGAGTGAGGCCTGTAGTAGCAAAGATAGGTTTTTTCGAGGTGCCAGTACTATGGCGACTTCCTACATACGCGAGCTTGGAAAAACGAGGCCAATGCCTTGGGTTTCCCTTTGCAAGCGGACCAACCTGCTTAGCGGCGGAAGGTTTATTATCCACTACCTATGCTTGTTGATAGCAGTGTTTTTGGGCGAGGCCCCGGGCGCGAAGCGCCATTCGGGGGCCCGAGCCCCTAGGTTCACTGCCGTCAGTCCGTCCGTCAGTCCGTCCGTCAGTCCGTCCGTCAGTCCGTCCGTCAGTCCGTCCGTCAGTCCGTCCGTCAGTCCGTCCGTCAGTCAGTTATAGTGTAACATTTCATCTTATTTCACCGCGCTTTAAATTGCGTCTGAAAGCTATTCTAATTCTCTATCGATAAATCAAGGGCCGGAACTCAGATATGTTTGTGGACGAAGATAGCGTTCCGCAAAAAAATAACGCTGGTTGATAGCCTATCAAATATATTAAAGTTACAAGTTGCAAGTTCCGCACGAGTGCGGGGGTGTCCGTCAAAGCCGGGAGGCCATGGACTAGAGAAAGTTGATTTCGCCATACAACTGTTTTGGGGTCCTGCCAGAGGGTTGCAAAAACGGTCTAATCCCCCAATCCCGGGGGGTGGTAGTGGTCAGCCATCCCCCCATCCTGGCTGGGGTGACCGACTCCCATCTCCCATCTTAGGGGCCCGGTGCTAATCCCATCCCTTGAGACAGGTTTCCCATCCTGCCAGCCTGGGTCCCATCCCCAATCCTATGGCCAGGGTTTCCAATCCCATCCTGCAGCTGTGTTCCCCCAATCCTCATCCTGCCAGCCAGGGTCCCTTCCCAATCCCTTCGACCAGGGCCATCCCCATCCTGCAGCTGTGTTCAGATCCGAAAGCTGTCAGCCAGGGTCCCATCCCCATCCCTTGCCAGCTACAAACCTACTCCTTACGTTTACACAGGTGCTGTAATATCGGCTTTCTCTTTAGGCGTAAATCAGGGGAATGACCAGGGTTATTTTCTATTTCCGCGAGATATTTTTCTCTTGCTCTATGGCTTATTTCCTCTAGCGTCAAATTCCGCCCGGCTGTGTTCGTTCCGAAGCAGACTGAAGCGACAAACGCTCGTTGAAGCGGATCTCGACTGAGGAAGAACTCGCATCACAGAGGTCTACATATCTAATTGCACACTGGCTGCTATTGCAAATCGCGCGTCCTAAGGGGGGAAGGACTGTTATGTTCGAAGGACGGCCACAGCAACAAATTATAATGCTGTGGTTAGAATGGCAGAACGTACAAGGGTGTTCTGTCAAAATGTCCATGGCTGGGAACGTGCACCATTGGTTCAGGTTCATAGCGCAGGAGTTCAGCTGCACATTCCGGCGCCAACACTCCACGTTGGGTGCGCCAAAGCGCTACGATAAAC